AACAAATACATATATATATATATATATATATATATATATATATATATATATTTCTTAAGGAAAATATGCTTATTTTTGGAAACATTCATTTTGCATTGTGAAAATTAATATAATGCACATTTACACCCTAATTTTTTACTACATTAATAGAAAAACACATAATTAAATTTTTATAAATATATAAAAAAAAAATGCATTGCCATTGTAAAATATAGCTTAACATGTAAAGTGTGTATACGTCATGTTAGTATTTGATGAACTGGCTTTAATTTGTGGTAATTTAAATAAAAATTGTGCCATAATACAATATATATATATATATATATATATATATATATATATATATATATATATATATACTTTGAAAAATAAATAGTATTACTGTGAAATACTAATATAATGCAATAGTAATGAATAAGGAGAATGTGCGGATATATTCCATTATTATTTTTACTATTATTATTATTATTATTAAATAAACTAATATACAATTTAATAATAAAAATATACAATATATAGTGTTACATGGCAATATATTATATCTTGATAGACAGACAGATAGATAAATGTATATGTATTTTTAAAACAATATAATATTAAATCTGATTAAATAATAATAAATATGAATCAATTATGCTTTAGTTAATAATAAATAATAATCATAAAATATATTAGCGCATTCGCCTTATTTATACTGTATTATATTCTCTCTCGCTCTCTCTCTCTCTAGCATTAATTAACAAAAACATTAACATAAAAATACAGCAAAAACACATTTATTCCTATTAAATAGGATTGTATTATCACCTCTGTATTCATAGATAGATGAACTGTGTCTTTTTGACTGCAGAGAGTATTAGCATCCAGAGACATGCTAATGAGGATTTGTCATCCATTGACAGTAATAATCACAGAAACACAATCATTCTTTACAGAGAACATTTGTGTGACAAATGTCTTTCGGATTGTTTTCTGTCAAGCCGAATGCCTGAGTGCACTTGATTCATTTGGAGCGGATAAACTATTCATGAGCAGCATAGTTTTAATTTCTTCAAAGTTTCCAAATTAGGATTTTCCCCTTGTGCACAGTGCTCATCAGCACTACGCGTCTCTGGAGCTTCCTTACGCTTGGCACAATTCACTTCAGATTTTCACGCCAGCAGGACAAACACTATTAATGTATTCAGCCAAAAGAAGTTAACACCTGTTGCCGCCATTGTTCTGATAATAATAAGCTCATAAACTTTCACTTGTTTTTCCTTTCAATCAAAGAAAAGTCTTTAAGGAATAAATCATCTAAACATGAAAAGTCTGCCGTTTACTCTCCCTCAAATGTCAATCCATTGACAATAATTTATAAACGGGGGACATAATAGTTTAGTAGTTCTTTAAAAACAAAACAACAACAACAAAATAAAGCAAAAATAAATAAATAAACAACAACAAAACACAAAATGGAACAAAAACACAAAATAACATACAAAATGAAACAACACAAAACAACGAAAAACAAAACACATTAAAATTAAATGAAACAAAACCTAAATAAAACACACACACACACACACACAAAACAAAATGAAATAAAATAAAACATAGACCCACACAAAAATATAAAAAAAACAAAAAAATATCAAACATGTTTAGCAAAATATCTAAGTTGCTCTTTTACAAATAAAGTAGACAATGACTGGGGTTCTCAATCTCCACAAAGGACAAAATGTAGTATTATAGATAAATGTAGTGTCGTATCGTAAGGCTTAAGAAGACTTAAAGTATTGTGCAATTCACTCGATTTAGAACTTGGAACGTATATATATATATATATATATATATATATATATATATATATATATATATATATTATATAAAAAAGAGCATTT